AAACAGTAGACCCAAACTGGAGGAGGACAGCAAGGTGAGAAAGAGAAGGATGATGAATAAATTCCAGAGGGCTAAGGCTATGGAAGGCCCTGTAAAAATCGTTTAGCATCATGAGAACGGACAGCTCCCTCTCTCCCTCCCCCCACCCCTCTGCCCCAGTCACGGGCTCACAGGGGCCTCTTCCCAGCAGAAAAGGACTCTGAGACAAATTCAGAGGAAATCGGGAGTGTCTACCAGGGTCTAAGACAGAAGAAGAGTGGCTGCCTTTGAGAAGACAGACTGGCATGCCTTAGGTGTGTTCAGATCAAGTCCCCAGGGACACAGATTTGGTTGGCTAAAATCAATCATCACTGTAGACTCAGGGGAAGACGGTGGGCCCAGGGCTTTCCTATCATGGGATCAGGGAGACTTAGCGATTCCTGCCTCAGCAGCAGAGAGACTGAAGGGACCAGAATCTGGGACACCGCCAAGGTGAACCGAATGAGCTCTTCCAGGAACCTGCCTGAGGTCACTCTGGGAGGGCTTCAGTGTGGGTTAAGGCATAATCTTAACCAGATGGGATAACCTGGGAGAGAGGAATGGGACCCACGATGGTTAGAGAGGGGAGACAGGGTCATTTTGGAGACCGGAGCAGGTGCCTGGGTGTCTAGAAGAGATGGGCATCCTCAACGGCTGGAAGTCAGCGTGAGAACACTGCTCCCTATAGAGGGCCAAGGAATGGCCAGAGTGGACTTGACTCCCTTCATAGTTTTGCTTAAGCCAGTTCAAATAGTAACGATCTGGTCTTCAAAGCTGTGCTCCTGCTGGTAACCTTTTGGTCAACCATCACCGACCACCTGATAAAGCCCAGACTCTATCTCTGCTAACAGTGACTGTGGTCTGGCCCCTGCCAACAACCTCAGACCCTTTTCTTGACACTTGGCAGCATTTATGCTCCAGCCACACTAGATTAGCCACGTAACCTCGTGACTCCGGATCTCTGTACATGCTGTTCCCGATGTGGCTTGCCCTGTACTTTCTCTTACTTGATTCCTCGAAATTGTCCCAGAAAGCTCAACTCAATCATCATCTGCTCTGAGGTGTCTTCCCTGAATGTCCCACCCTCACCCCTGCTGCAAAAATCCGAAGTTTTAGATGTGTTTCCTGGGGCATCCCAAAACTATCCCTCTGTCTGGAAATTACTCATTTTCATCTTCCTTCCCCATGAAGCTGTGTTCTGTTCATTCCTGTCTCTCTGGCAGCTAGCACAGGGCCTGGTGCAAAGGAGGCACCTGGTTACAGCTGGATGGGATCAATAATAATTACTTTAAATTAACATCACAGATAGCACATTCTATACAAAACTTCACCAAATACTCTGTCTTCAAAAGGCTCCCGTTCAGAAGTCCTGTATGAACATGAAGAGATGCTCACCAGCCCTGACCATCAGAGGACTGCAAGTCAAAACCACAGTGAGATACCACCTCCCACCCATTACGATAACTAATGCAAAACAAACAGAAAACCCAGTAAATAACAAACGTTGGCAAAGATGTGGAGAAACTGGAACCCTCGTTGGGGGGAATATAAAATGATGCAGCCATTACGGAAAACAGTTTGGAGGTTCCTCAAAAAATTAAACATAGGATTACCATATGATCCAGCAATTCCACTTTGGGTATATACCCAAAAGAATCAAAAACAGGGTCTCAAAGAGATATTTGTACGCTGTGTTCATAGCAGGGTCATTCAGAATAGCCAAAAGGTGGAAGCAGTCCAAGTGTCCACTGAGAGAGGATGGATAAACAAAATGCTGTACTACATAAACACAATGGAACAGTATTCAGCCTTAAAAGAAAGAAATTCTTCTTTTAAGAATGTGCTGCAACATGTGCTACAACATGGGTGAACCTTGAGGACATCACACTGCGTGCAATAAGCCAGTTACAAAAGGACAAATACTAGGGCTTCCCTGGTGGCGCAGTGGCTGAGAGTCCGCCTGCCGATGCAGGGGACATGGGTTCGTGCCCTGGTCCGGGAAGATCCCACATGACCCAGGGGCGGCTGGGCCCGTGAGCCATGGTCGCTGAGCCTGCGCACCCGGAGCCTGTGCTCCGCAACGGGAGAAGCCACAACAGTGAGAGTCCCGTGTACCGCAAAAAAAAAAAAGGACAAATACTAGATAATTCCCCTTATATGAGGTCCCTAGAGCAGTCAAATTCATAGAGACAGAAAGCAGAATGGTGGTTGCCAAGGGCTGGTTGGGGGGCGGGGGATGGGGAGTTAGTGTTTAATGAGGACAGCCTCAGTTTTGGAAAATGAAGAGTTCTGGAGGTGGATGGATGGGTCCATGGATGGATGGATGGCAGTGGTGGCTTCACAACAATACAAATGTACTTAAGGCCACCATGCTTAAAAATGGTTAAGTATGCTTGAAAATGGTTAAGATGGTAAATTTTATGTTATATCTATTTTACCACAATAAACAGTAAAAAGCCCTATGTGAGGAATTTGAGAGCCTGAGTTCAAATCCCAGCTCTACCACTGCCCCACTGCCCAGCTGGGGGGGGGGGGGCGGTGACAGCCTCATCTGCCTCTGCTGTAAAGTGGGGATAATTCCCAGAGCAGGGAGGCTTTATCTACTGAGGGCCGTAACCTTTTCACATTACGCCTGATATTTCGTGATGAGGGTCTGTGCATCTGTGGTAAGAGGCACACACTATTTTTGTTTCGGGAGCACAACATATCCATCAGGGACCCTCCAAATGAGAGTACTTCACTGGGAAAGAGCCTTGTTTGAGCACCACGTGCGTGTTGGGCACACAAGGGATGCACCGAGGCCCATTTCACACCCTGACAATGAATTCCCTCTGCTGCTGTCTAGTGTCTAATGATAATATTGACCTTTTCTAGCTGTCAAACTTGTCTTATTAAATCCTGAGGTCTTAAATGCTTTGCACACAGAGGCTGACAGTTTGCCCACCCGAGCACGTGTTCATGTATAATTCATGGCATATCATGTTGCCTGGCAAATGAATATTTATCAGCTTTTTCATAAGAGGCAGGATGGCGTTTCCTTTTGTTGCTACCAAAATCCTATGCTGCAGCAAATGAAATTTGTGAGCAAATAAAAAGAGAATAAGAAGCAGCAAAAACTCCCAAGTCCATTCCACTTGTAATTTTCCACTTTCCGAGGCCTCCAGCGAGTGTATGGAGGTGGCTTCGGTTTGGCTACAAGAGAGAACTGCTGAGTCGTCCAGAATAGAAATGCCTCCATATGCTACCCCCACTGCCCCCGCAGACAGCTCCCCCACGCCCCACTTCTGTGCTGTTTTCAACTGCAGAGGAGCCCAAGCCCCTTTCAATGGTTCCATTCCAGATGCTCTGAACGGAGATTAAGACTGGGGGGGGGGGACCTAGGATAAAGAACCCCAATGAAGCTTGGTACAGAGTGGCTGGTGGCACCCAGCCAGGCAGAGTTTCATGGTTTCCAAGATGGGTCAGCAGGGATAGCCTTGTTCCACACCAGCTTGGGTCTGAGGTCCCCTCCCCACGGTGACTCGGGAGGGCCACAGAGAAATGCCGCCTTGTCTGTAGGAGGTGGCCTGTGCCCTGGCCCTTGCTGCAGAAACGAGCCCAGAGAGGACTTAAGAATTGTGACTCTTTTCACTCTTCTTGCCTCAAGACTCAGTGAGCTCAGGCATGCATGGGCACACTCACTTGGAGGGGAGTCTCAACACGGTTGTGAATATCCAGCCTGTGTGGCTTGGCTGCCATCACTCTGGCCTTGAAAGATGATGATGGTGGTGCTGATGCTGCTGACAGCAGTTCATATATAATGAGCCCTTATTACATGCCGGGCCCTACGTCAAGCACATCAATTACACTATTACATACAATCCTCCAAATGCCCCGCTGGAGTTGGTATTATTGTTGTTCCTATTTTACAGATGAGGAAACTGAGGCAGAAAGATGGATTCACTCGTTTAAGTTCACACAGCCCCAGCTGGGAGTCAACTGCAGGTCTGTTTGACTCTGGAGCCCAGGCTTTCCCAAAGGCACTCCCTGGAATCAAGAAATTTGGGTTCAAGGACAAAACCCATGAATGCTCGGCTGTGTGGCCTCACGGGAATCATCCATCTCCATGAGCCCACGTCTCCTCATTTATAAAAGAGATGTAACAGCTCTTGTTTTGCAGGGCTGTTGTGAGGATGCACTAGCGCTTTGCAAATTCTGAAGAGCTCTATCATTGATTAGCCGGTGGCCATTCTCAATAGAAACATTTACCAAGGCTTTGGCACTAGGGGTGAAGACTTCCGGCTCCAGAAGTTTACAGTAGAGATGGAGAAAGGAGATACCCAGGGGCAGAAATAACAAGGTTAGGTACATGTAGTCATTCATTCATCCAACGGGAAATTTATCGAACACTTGCTGTGAGCTAGAGAACACACAGGCAATCTGTGTATAATTTCAGATAAGGATAAGTGCTATGCAACTATTAAAACAAGATGATGTGATGGAGAAGAGCATCTGAGCCAAGATCTGAATAGCAAGATGACAATGACACTGGCCAGGCAAGGACTGGGGAGAAAAGCGCTCCAGGCAGAGGGGACAGTTAGTGCAAAGACCCTGAGGGGGGTGTTTGGGACCACAGAGTCCTCTTTTCATAGACTATATCTCAGGGTGCTGGTGCCGAGGGGAACACTCCTATGGGTGGGAATGACGACTTTTCATCTTGCTAGGAGCCCCCCTGGCTGGGACTTGCTCTTTTCGTGGCTCTAATTCTTTCCCTGCACTTCCTCATGCAGGGTTTCAGAAGGACCATTCTGCGGTAGGCAGTGTCCTAAGTGACATGGCAGCGGGCGAAGTCTGGAGCAGGGGTCTGAGTCAAAGCTCATGCCACCGTCACCTTAGCCCCCAAGGCCCAGCTCTCGGATCCCGGCTGCCCCAGCTGCCCCCGGGGCCATCCCTACAGAACAGAAGCACTGGGGCCTCCACCCCCATCGCCTGGCTCCACATACCTTCTTCTCATCCACTCTCTCGGGGGCCGACTTGAGCTTCTTCATGAGCAGAGGGTCCAGCACCTGAAATCTTCGGCGGAACTGAGTGAGCCCCATGTGGTCAGCGTAGCCTGGGGTGGGGGGAGAAGAACAAAGAATCCAAGTGAGAAGCCCAGCCCAGGGGTCCAGGGGTCCACTCCCAGCCTTGCTACTCACTGTGTGCCCTCACGTCTTAGGGCCTCAGTCTCCCCATTTGCTAATTTAAGAAATTGGGTTCAATCAGCATTTCCCAACTGCATTCCCCAGAACAAGGACCCTATAAAAGGCTCCAATGAAAGTTCGAAAAAGCTGCCCCCTCATCTGCTTCTCCGAAGGTCACAATCTGTGTGAGCACTGACGTCAAAGGCTCCAGACCCTCTGCAGGGAATTTGCCCTGATTAGCTTCGCTTAACCCAGAGTTCTCCAAACCTGCTGGACCATGGAAAAAAAATTTTTTTTGGTTTAATACTTTTTACCGCCCCACAGACCGCATGTGGGAAATGCTGCATCAGATGGTATCTACACGTTAAATCTAACATGTAGGATGGACACAGCTGCACCCTTCTGTGTGGGAAGTGGCATCTGAAAAGCTCCTGAGAGAAGGTGACGTCTGAGCCGGCCTTTGAAGGGCCGTGAGAGTGTGCCAGCGGATTTGGTGTGGAAGGAAGTCCAGGCAGAGGGAGCCACGGCAGGAAGATACAAGGTCTGTTTCACAGTCATCGCAAAAGCAGTTACTGAGCTTTTATGTGTGCAAGACACTAGGATAACAACTTCCTTGTGTTACAGACACTCTGGGGACTGTATTATTACACCCATTATGTAGATTGGAAATTGAGGCCCAGAGAGTTCAAGTCACGTAGCCCAAAGTGAAGTCAACCCTAACTCTCCCAGATGGGATCCAAACCCAGACAGAGACGATAACGAATCCAGTGAGAGTAACCAACGATGAGGTGAAAGACAAGCAGGGACTGGGTCCCCAAGGAACCTGACATCAAATTCCAGACCTCGAAGCTTGGACTTCATCCTGGATACAAAGGGCGTGGTAGATCCTCAGTTGCCTTAAAAAGACCCCTCAAGTGGCTGGATGGGAGAAGGTCTGGTGAAATCTCACTCCATTTTGAGACTTCACTTTACAATAAGCCAAATGAATGAACCATGAGGAAGAGTCATGGTGGGTACATGTGGCAAATCCATGAAGCCTTCCTGGGGGGAAGAGGAGGGTTTCAGGCCAGGTTGGAAGGATGCTGACCGCACAGAGACCTGGGGGCTGGGAGGTTACAGGCCTGTCCTTTTGAGTCAGACTTACTTGGGTTCGTATCTCTCATCTGCCCTGATTAGCCCTCTGACCAGCGACAAATGACCCTATTTTTTTGAGATTCAAGTTCTTCACTTGTCAGATGAGAGTAATAAGATCTCCTGTCACACAGTCACGATGAGGATTAAATCCAATAATGACTGTAATATTGGGCTGGCCAAAAAGTTCGCTCGGGTTTTGCTGTGCCACCCCGAAAGAACTTTCTGGTTAACCCAATAAAGGAGGCTGATGTGTTTTGAGCACTTTCCCAGGTCCAGGCACTTTTCTGTTATTCCCTTATTAATTCATCAACCCACTCGACAGCTCTCTGAGACCTGAGCTATCACAGGAGATAAAAGGCAGGCACGATCTAGGGACCTGCCAGTGTCAGCCACAGTCAAGCCCAGGCCAACTGGCTCCAGAGTCCGACCTGTGCCCGCCAGTCTGCCCCATATGTAACGTTCGCTGAGCGTTTACTCTCCTCCAGGCATTGTGCTAAGGGCTCTGTGAGAACAACATCAATTAGTGTGCGTAACCGCAGTGCCCAGCACATCGTAGGTACCTGAGAAACAGCATATGTATGTATGCATCATGCGTGCATGTGTGTATGAATTCAGGCACACCTGACATGTTGCGGGTTCAGTTCCAGACCACTGCAGCAAATCAAACATCGCAATAAAGCATCCCCAAAACTTTCTGGTTTCCCAGTACGTATAAAAGTTATCTTTAGACTATACCATATTCCTTTTTTTCAATGTTAAACTCATCTTTTTTTAATATTTATTTATCTATTTATTTTGGCTGCACCGGGTCTTAGTTGCAGCACACGGGATCTTTGTTGTGGCATGCGAACTCTTAGTTGCGGCATGCGCGCAGGATCTAGTTCCCTGACCCAGGATCAAACCCGGGCCCCCTGCACTGGGAGCGTGGAGTTTTACGCACTGCACCACCAGGGAAGTCCCTAGACTATTCTATTAAGCATGCAATACCACTACATCTAAAAAACAATGTACATACTTTAATTAAAAAATACTTTATTACTAGTATTTTCCTGTTGAATTTTATAATTATTTTTACTAAAGGGTATTAATTAAATAAGTAAATTGATACACTATAATTCTGTGTTTTTATAAAAATAAATTAATAATTTAAAAAAATACTTTATTACTAAAAAACGTAACCGTCATCTCAGCCCTCAGCGAGTTGTAAATTTTTGCTGGTGGTGGGTTGGAAACATTGCAAGAATTACCAAAATGTGACACAAAGTGAGCAAATGCTGTAGGAAAAAGCGGTGACAACAGACTGGCTTGACACAGGGTTACCACAAACCTTTGATTTGTAAAAAAGTGCACTCTCTGTGAAGCGCGATAAAGCAAAGCACAATAAAACAACATCTGCTCGCGCACACGTTACATGTGCACAGATTCCAAATCATAACTATGTGACATATGTGTATGGATCTTTGTATGCTTGTAAATACTGCTTGTATGGTGTGAGACAGAAGTGACTCAGAGCAGAAAACAATGAGGAGGACTCCCCTGGTGGCGCAGTGGTTAAGAATCCACCTGCCAATGCAGGGTACATGGGGTGAGCCCTGGTCCGGGAAGATCCCACATGCCGCGGAGCAACTAAGCCCGTGCGCCACAACTACAGAGCCCATGTGCCTAGAGCCTGTGCTCCACAACAAGAGAAGCCACCGCAATGAGAAGCCCGTGCACCGCAACGAAGAGTAGCCCCCGCTCGCCACAACTAGAGAAAGCCTGCACAGCAATGAAGACCCAATGCAGCCAGAAATAAATTAATTTAAAAAAAACAACAAGAAAACAATGAGGAAATGAACCAGGTCTGGGAGACAGAAATTTGGGAAGTTATACCACAAGACTTCAACCCTTCACTGAGCTGGAAGCTCCCTCCAAGTCGGGCGGCGCTGAGAACGCAGAGGGCGGACCCGCAGGGAGGAAGGGAACGCTGACCCATGCCTGCACGCAGGGACTCTAACCCACGGGCCAGGATGCCTCCGGCCGGCGGGGCACAGTCGATCAGCCACGGGCTGTGACCACCTCGCTCTTCCCGTGCAACAGTATCTGTCTTCTTGTGCCTGTGGTTGCGTGGACCGGTGGGAAAATCAATGTGATGCTGAAGGGAGCAAGGGGCTCATCTTTGCTTCCAGCTGCTCCCGGCTTCTCCGTCAACTACCTCACGCCCAGGGTTCCGTATTAACGCGGTGGGAGGACACGGGGGCAGCGACCACAAGCTGAGGCGTCAGTGACCACAGGAATATTAAACAAATGGGTGCCCACCCAGACTCCCCGCCAGCCCTGCCGCCCCATCCGCTGACTTCGCCTGAGCTGTTCCTGGCTGGGAGGGGAATCCAAGGGGTGGCCTATGGGGTCTCAGAGGCAGAAGAGAATGGGAAAATTTCAGATCAAACTCAACTCATAAGATGAGCTAATGGGGGAACCCTGGTGCATGCTTGCTTTCTCGAATACAGGCCTGACACTTCGTTCCTTTGGCTGAAACCCCTTATTCCCCTGTCACTCCATCACCTCCTCAGCTGGACCTGGGAAAGCCAAAGTTCCAAAGACAGCATTCACGGGCTGTGTCTCCTGGTGGACCCGCCCCTCATCTCCCACAAACCCCACTCATTCTGAACCCGACTCCCTGAAACCCAAGGCTCCTCCATGCCTCCCTGCCTTTGCATACGGTGATGCCTCAGCCGAGCTCTTCCTCTCCCTCACCAGCCAGAGGCGAGCTACCTGCTTCTTTCCAAGACTCAAATAAGACGGTATCTCCTCCAGGAGGTCTTTCCAGTCTCCCTGCTTCCTCCTCTGGGCATCCCCATGTGACACATGCCCTGGTCCCATCATGGACCAAGCTTGTTTCCACACGGATCTCCCAAACCAGGCTGAATGTCTTGAAGACCAAATATTAATCGTTGTGGAAATTTTACCCTCTACTCCAAGGCAAATGCCCCTGAGATGTTTGTTGTTGAAAGGAAGATGAGTAAGACACACCCGTGGCCTTCCAGGAGTTCACAACTAAGTCAGGAAATAAGATGGGCTTTGGACTCAAAGAGACCTCCGCATAAACCTAGGCTCTGCCGCATCCCGCTGTGTGACCCTAAGCAAGTCCCTTCTCCTCTCTGAGCCTCAGTTTCTTCATCTGTAAAATGGGGTAATCATAGTTCCCCCCTCACAGGGCTGCTGGGCAGTTTCGACGGGATGCTGCATGGAAAGCTCCTGGCACACAGCTGATGCTCCTGTCCCTCGGCTGTCACTGGTCCAGGAGCGTGTCCCAGGAGTCAGAGACAAGGTGCTCGCTCCCAGGCTGCCTCTTACCTGCCCTGTGCAGGCGCAGCGCCTCCAGGATGTAGGACCCTGCAAGCTGCACCCTCAGTGCCGGGATGTCCAAGGGCAGGGACCCGCCTGCCCCGGGCTTGTCTCTACCAGGCTGCGGTGGAGTCAGAGACCCCTGCCCGCCTCTGCTCTCCACCACTGGGCTCGGCACCAGGCAGTGGATGAAGTGTAACTGAGACCGTCTGATCACGCTGATCAATGCATCCTAGGACAGAGAGGAGACGGGGCTGTGGTCAGGGCCAGGGTGAGACAGACAGGGGTCTGAACATTCCCCAAATGTATATGCAGTCTGACCTGGGCATCTCTGTGGGGGCCCTATGTCCTACACCAAGGACCTCCTATCCATGGCCTGATTTGTACTAATGAGAAATAAAGGACCTTTATAACAACCCTTATGATAACAGATGGAGAAATTGGGACATGGAGAGGACAAGCGAGTGGCCTAAGGCTGCGTGGACCACTTGCCGAAAAGGAAGACTAGAACCCAGGACCTGGTCTGTGGGCTTTTCCAGTATAATATGCTATGAGTCATTTCTTCAAACCAATCCTTCCCACATCCCACCCTCCTGAGCTCAGCCTGACTCAGCCTGACCACTTGTTTTTGGATCAAGGTGTCCAGGTGACATCTTTACAGCCAGTGCTGGATCCTGCCGCCTCCCCTACGGAGAGCCTAGAGGTAAAGATGCAGGCCTGCGAGGTGAGGAAGGCAGGCGGGGCTGGTCTGGCCGTGACATTTGTCACCTTGGTCAGGAGGGCAACTGCGGTTCCTGCAAACTTCCTGAAGCGGCTTAAGTTAAACCGAGAAGCTGAGGCTTTGGCCTCAGACTGGGACGGATCACTTTCCACCAAATTTCTTTGCTTCCCTGAGCCTCGGTCTCTTCCTTGGTGAAACGTGGGCGTTGCCCGCCCCTTCAGGCTCGCTGGGGAGCTCAGAGATGATGTGGGTGGGTAAGCCACCCTGGAGGCGGGCAGTGAGGCCACGACTCCACGGGGACAGGGCCCCCACTCACCATCTGAAGCTTGATCTGGGAGCACGGGGCCTTCCTCTTCACCGCGGCCAAGCTGCTGGCAAACGTCCTCCTCACCGTGCTGCTCCTCTGCTGGGCCTGCTGGGAGGTGCCCTCCAGGCCGGCCACGGCCCGGCACACAGGGGACAGCTTGGCCCGGGACTGGAACAGGCCCCTCAGCTCCTCCCTGGCAGGTAGGAGGGGAAAGAGAGAGGTGCTTCAGGGGGCTCACAGGGTGGAGCAAAGGGGACCCCCCTTGCCTCCTGCTAATCTGCCTCCTGAACCCTCCCCTCGAATCATACCCTAACTGCCTACTCTGTTCATGGTCCCTTCTGCCACACAAGCCTTTGCTCGGTGACAAATGTCAGCCCCTTCCTCCATGCCTCTCTCCCTCCCCTGACCTCAGAGCAGCTTTCCTTCTACTGGACATTTCCGTCACCTATGTACCTGCAGGAATTCTACCCCGCCTGCACTTCCTTAGAGGCAAAATCATCTCGGTTATCCCGAGAACAGGTCCAGTACACAGCAGGTGCTTACTGTGCTTGTTGTCGAACAGACAGCCTGAGCGCCAGGCAGACCCTACTGCGCCCTAGGAGGAAGCGGGGGCCCAGAGGAGGACCCGTGCCTCTCTGGTTGCACCAGCCCATCCCCTCCAGTGGACACCTGCGGGCACCTTCCATCGCTCCCTGCAAGTCTGGGCCCCACCCCGGTCCCAGCCCTCAAGACCCATTATCCACCCGCCTCTACGCCTACCCGACTGTCCAATATTAAGGAAATGAGTCTTGCCAGCTGCACCAAGGGTGCTGAGAGAGGTTAGCTGCATGGCAGAGCGCACAGCCTAACATGGCTTGAATACACTCACGCTGAAATAAAAATCTGGGGAGGGAGCAGTGGGGGGCGTGAAGCCCCTGGAAGCAGCAGCCCTGAGAGCGAAGGATGTCGGCACCAAGCCCTGGTACAGGGAGAGAAGGTCGGGCCCACAGCCCTGATCCCTGCACGAGGACTGCCCCAACTGTGGGGTTGGGAGACCTGACTTCTGGTCTCCAATTCACTTTGTGCCTTGGGCAGTCACGTGTCCTCTTTGGACCTCCACTCCGTATATATAAAGCGAAAGCTGAGTGGGCATGAGAACCTCCTGGGAAGCCCCACCTGAGAGACTAGATGGGCCCAGGAATGAGAAAGCGACACCAGCAGTCCTGGTGCATCAGCGACCTTGGCTGCAGAACCGCATGCTAAGAAAAAGCACCGTTTGCTCTCAAAATCACCAACGCTTGGCTCTCAAGCCTGCAAGACACCCTGCTGGGATTTACCTCCAACCTGCCGTGCTCTCTCACCTCCAAGCACACGCTGCTCCTTTTCCCCAGAACGTCCCCCACTCACCAGGCCATCTGATCAACCAAGGTGTGCCGCCCTTCCCTAACCCTACACCCCTCACTCAGCGTGAGCCATGGGATTTTAGAGCAGAAGGGAAATTTACAAGGCCACAAGGCGTGTGCTGAGGGCCAGCTATGAACCAGGCTCCTTAACAGGCCATCTGTTACGTTACATCACCAAAGCCTGACAGCACACGTGTAAGCTTGGCGGCATCATTCCCATTTCTCAGATTGTGAAACTGTGACCCAGCTCACGCAGTTTGAAAAAGGGAAAAGCAGCATTTGTACATTTGCCTGACTCCAGAGCTGTGCAACATGGCCTTGCCCGACAAACCCTTATGTCATGATGGAAAAAGCGAGAAACCCAGAGGAGGGAAAGGGACTGCCCACAGTCACCCAGGTGACACGGGGCAGGGATGGGACTTGACCCAGGTCTGCTGGCTCCCCACACAGCCCTCCATGTGCTCTTTACCCTTCCTTCTGCCCCATCCCCTGACTTGATCTCTCTCCAGGAGCTGTGCGCCCCTGAGCCCCCCCAGACACAGGCTTTCCAAACAACTCTGACCACCTAGACCCAAATCGTATCCCGGCTCTGCCACTTTTTTCTTTTGCTATGTGATCAAAGGCGAACCACTTGGCCTCCTGGGGCCTCAATTTTCTCATCTATAAAATGGGCCCAGGGATACAGTTGTTGTAAGAATTTTAAAAATGCTTATAAAGCATTCACCCTGATGCCAGGTGCATAGCAGGCGGTTAGTAAATGTTGCGGTCTGAGCTTCACTCGCGCGCGTGCACACACGCACACACGCACGCACGCGCGCACACACACACACACACACACACACACACACACACACAACAAGCATTTCCCAATAGCTCTTTGAAGTCAAAGCAGCCCTCTGCTAGCACTTCTGAGCAGAGCAGTCAAGAAATGCAGTGAGCTTTTTTTAATGCTACAAAACATTATCACTTTGGTTTTACGACCCCCTAGTTTGAAGATGTCCATAGAAGTCCTTCCAGTCACATCATCTACCAGATACTTGATGAAAGGCCAGAAGCCAAAATAAGAAGTCACAGCTTCCTAGCTTTTGTTCCACTTCCCCAGAAGGCCAGCTTTTCTCCTCAGCTGGACTCAGGCTGGCCCTGGGAGACACTGAACTGCTCCTATTTGAGTCCGGGTCTTTGCGACATTAGGGAGGGGTTCCTGTACTGCTCTCCATCACTGCGTTGCTGTGACTTCACGGCCCCAGCACCTCGAATGCCCCAGCCCGTCCCAAGCCCTGGCCAGGCTCACCTCTTCGACTGCTGCAGGATTTGGGGGGCGTCCAGGGCCGAAAGATTAGGCTTGGCCCTGTGGAGCCAGCCCGTGAGGTCATAGCGCACGGGGTCGTGTCCCAGCTGGTGGGCAATCTCGCACTGCAGGGGCTGCTCACAGGTCCGGAGGGCAGAGGTCCCTGAAAGCAGATACAGGGCATGAGTCTTGGGACCTGGTGGGGACACTCTGTCATCACTTGGCATCACTGAGAACACGCTTTTCCCATTTTAATATGTTCCAACCTAGCTGAAGCTACCAGTTCTGGGCACCCATATTTCCCCTGCTTTGTGCATTTATGGGCATTACATCCAACCTCGATTCTGTTCCTCCTTGCTTTCTTAAACCCAGGATACCTGTTTTTCCCAACTACCATCAGCACACACAATCTCCATGATTTTTACCATATCCATGTTATCACCTGGGCTATTATTTACTTAATGTTTTCTTTCAATCGACTCACATTTTTACCGGTAAAATGTATTTATACAGAAGCATTATACTGCAGATTTGGTGTGCCAGCCATATTTATTTTCTAATATTTGTGGAAATAAATACGCAATTATTAAATAATTTGAAAATGTGTGTGTGTACCACCTGAAATTGTCTTGAATACCAGCTACCAAATAAATGCACAGCATATTCTTGGGAGATGCTGGCAGACACCTGGTTCCAAGGGACAGAGCGGGAGAAACAAATGGACTTGGAGTTGAGAAGACCTGTGTTCCAATCCTGACTTGACCATTTATCACAGTGGGACAGGGGCCAAGCCACCTACATTTCAGAGCCTCAGTCTCCTCCTCTCCAAAATGTGGATTAGATAATACATGTCTCCCAGGGCGGCATAAGGTCTGAAGGAGATAAGGGGTGTGGAGTACTTTGGTGGGGCGCCAGAGCAGTCACTCAGGAAGCAGCACTTAGTGGTCGTCGCTGCCATTTCCTGCATTGAAACCTTTGCTGATGTTCTGGAATCACAAAAGGTTGGCCTTCACATCCCCAGAGCCCAGCATCATGGCTGGCACATGACTGGAGTCTGGAAGTGCTTGTGGAATGAATGAATGAATGGATGGATGGATGCATGGATGAATGAATTCCTGATCATTTTTCATATCACTCTCATTGCAGTGATGCTCTCAGGCTGAGTAATGGCTCCAGACCAATTACTATCAGAAGGTGTAGTATCATCTCGGTTCTCGTATCTACTCTGAATGATCTTCCTACATTTTCTCATCCCGTGATTGTCAATGGGCCAACATGTATCCAGGATCTCGACTGCCTCCCTTAAATCTTAGTTTGCTTCCTCTACACTTCACTGAGCTAAGAAACGAAGGACCTGCATTTCTTAGAACTCTGCACAAAATAAACAAAGTCCCAGAGTCTTCAGGTTCTGCTAAGTAAGGGGCATGGATTCTGCCGTCTGTTTGGCTGCCTGGAAATCCTTTGTGCTCACTTCCTGGACCTCCTCTACGTTCTGGATCATTAAAGTTACCAGAAAGGCACACTTCTGGTTAAGTGAAGTATCACTGCGTCAAGAGTGACCCATGAGCCCTTCAGAGCCGTGCAGTCCCTGCCCTTCCATTGAGAGAAGAGCAAGGGACTTCCCTGGCAGTCCAGTGGCTAAGACTCCGTGCTTCCAATGCAAGGGACCCGGGTTCAATCCCTGGTTGGGGAACTATGATCCCACATGGCACGCAGTGCAGCCAAAAGATTAAAGAATGAGAGAGAGAAGAGCAAGGGACAGAGCAGACACTCGGCCCTGGGACATACGTCCCCGACTCCCTGCAACACTGCAGGTGTCTGTTTGCAAGGCTGCCTCCCTGCCCTGGACCGGAAGCAATGTGAGGGCAGGGGTCATGTCCATTCAGCATGATGTCCAGCAGCTAGCACAGAGTTTGCTTCGAATGATGACCCCAAGGGCATCTGGGGAGGGGGAGGAGGCCCAGAGTGAAGAAAGGCTGCTCATGTGTGCTAAGCCCTGGCCACCCTCCATCACTCAGTCCTCGCTCTGGTCTGTGATGTAAGCGTCACTGGCGCCCAGCATGCACCTTAGGTGAGAGACAACATACAGCGAGCTGGGTCAGCCAGAAAGCCCCACGTGTTCTGCTTGAGTGAACGTTCCCATTAAACGTTGGGACGATGATAAGAGCTAATCAGAAAGCCCTAGAGGCAAAATATACATATATATTTTTAATACTGAAATGTCTGAGTTAATGTGTCTATCTCAGTCGGTCCAGACAAGATCTCTCCCCTGGGAACCGAGAGCCTTGCAGCATCCTGCTCGGGGTGTCCGGGACCGGCATGGTCAGGCCTCGCAGGGAAAGGACAGGGGCCGAGGGCCCTGCCCCAGCCACACCCTACACGACACTTTCCACTTCTGACCCTACTCTCTGTGTCTTTAGCTGAAACATCAGGACGAAAACATTCCATTCGAGAACTCCATTTCATTCGATTCTGGATCACCAGTGTGACTGGAGCAGAGCAAGCGAGGGGTGGGGAAGAGAAGATGGCAGGTATCAACGGGGGCCCTGCTATGCTCCAGGCACTGGGGAGACAGCAGAGAACAAGACAGGGGCACCCCGCACCCTTGGGGCATACTGGGTGGTTGGGGGATTGACGAGAAGCAAGCAAACGGGTCACCAAACATCCCAGAGCCCAAAAGGGGCCCTGAAGGAAACAAGCAGGGCGTCTTGTGATGGGACAACGTGGCTGAAGAGGGGACAGCTACAGACAGGGGTCGGGGAGGCCTCTGAGGACAGCCCTCGCGCAGGGAGCTGAGGGAGCATGTACAAACGCTTCTAGGCGCACACAAGCTCCTCCGTGCTCACACCGACCCCCAGGGTTATCACCATCTTACAGACGGGAGAGGGAGGCGATTTCCCAGAACTCACACGCATTGCAACTAACTAGTGGAGCAGGGGTCCAACCCAGGTCTCTGGGGTCCAAAGCCTGGGTGGGCTTTTAACAGATCTGCCTCCCGGCTTCCTGTGGGTCTACCGTCCCCCGGAAAAATAAAAACCATTCCAGAACCCTGGAGACATTTCCTGCAGACAGAGGCTCCTTTCATAACCTGGAGAAGGGTCAGGGCTCTGGCTGGCTCTCTGAGTGAGGCCTCCCGGGCGCAGCGCCAGCTCCGTTCTCTGTGCCTATGGGGCCCCGGTCAGCCACATGGCTTCTCCAAGGCCCCAGATGCCCCCGGGAGGTGGGGCGTAGTGGAGCACACAATGCCCAGCTCAGACTAAGGGCTCCACAAATGGCAGTTTCATCTGCCCCTCCATCCCCGTTCGCTGGCTGGCAGAGGCGGACGTACCTCAGAAAACAGAGGTGACCTTCAGGAACAGAGATGACCGCTGGCAGCATCACATGGAGCACTAGGGCCCCCTCCGCACCCCCGGCGGAGGCAGTCCAGGGCTGCGCTATGACTGCCCCAGGCCCCGGGCACTTTGCTTTCATGAGCCCCTTCCTTGCTCTATTTCCATATATATAGATATAGATATAGAGAGATATGTATTGTGTGTGTGTATACATGTGTGTATACAAATACATATACATACACACAAATTACATTTCACGACTGTTGATATAAAAGCAAATAGATTAATATTAGTAATATATAAGTGTATTATATTAGCTTACTACAGCTGCCATAACAAAGTACCACAGACTGGGTGGCTTAAACAACAGAAGTTAATTTTCCCACACTTCTGGAGGCTGGAGGCTGGAAGCCCAAGATCAAGGGGTCGTCAGCAGGGCTGGTTTCATTGAGGCCTCTCTCCTTGGCTTGGAGATGGCTGCCTTCTCCCTGCATCTTTCCTCTGTGCATGTCTGTGTCCTAGTCTCTTCTCCTGAGGACCAGTCATATGAAATTAGGACCCACCTCAATGACCTTATTTAACCGTTACTACCTCTTTGAAGACCCTGTATCTATATAAAGTCACATTCCGGGGTGCTAGGGGTTAGGAATTCAATATGTAAATTTTTTTGTGGGGGGAATACAATTCAGTCCATAACATGTACTTAACCTAAACATTCATTTTTTCTTTTTTTTTTTTTTTTTGCGGTACGCGGGCCTCTCACTGTTGTGGCCTCTCCTGTTGCGGAGCACGGGCTCCGGACGCGCAGGCTCAGCGGCCATGGCTCACGGGCCCAGCCGCTCCGCGGCATGTGGGATCCTCCCGGACCGGGGCACGAACCCGTGTCCCCTGCATCGGCAGGCGGACTCTCAACCACTGCGTCACCAGGGAAGCCCCTTTTCTTCTACTTTTAACAGAAATCAAAAGACTTTCACGGGCCGCTAAGAGTACCACGGGCCCCAGGCACTGCCCCTCTTGCCTGGGGGAGGAGTCGGCCCTGGGCAAGTCGCCGCAGACCCAAGCTCTCCGGGAGCCATCGGGGTAATAACGCTCTGGGCACGGTCCAGGGAGAGTGGCTGGAGCCAGCAGGTGGTACTGCTGTTTCTGCTGCTGTCAGCAAATCCAGCGCAGGAGTGCTGGTGGTGTATCCCGGACAGAGGCCCCAGCCCAGCGGCACTGAGAGCTGTCACATGTCTTTCTCCAACTCTTCCTCCCAATTTCTCATAAGCCACTCCAGTCAGATGGTCACCCGCAACGCTCCCATTGGAGTCGTACCTGTCTTGGTGGTCAGTGACCTCCACACAGGCTAAGTCAGTGCAACTCCTCAGCCATGCCTCACTCGACCTTTCAGGAGCATTCAACTCTGTTGGTCCGTCCCTCCTCCTGCGGCTTCCAGAGTGCCACATCCTCCCACTCCCCTCCTCCAGCCCCGGCCACTCCTCCCCGGCCACTTTTGCTGGACACAAGCTTTGTCCCTGGCCCCTTGACCTTGCGACGTCCCAGGGCTGAATCCCTGGCCATTTTCACTGCCAACCCTCATTCCTTTAGTGATCTAAACCAGAACTGTGGTCCTCAACATCTTACAGATTTTTTTTTTTTTGCTTTATCATACATCTCCTCTGCTAGAATATCAGTCCCTTGGGGTGAAGATTTTTGTTTTGTTCACAGATGTATTTCCTGGCCTAGGGCAGTGGCCACCACATTTTAGGTGCTCCTGAAATATCTGTTGAATGAAACAGTGAATGAATGACCCCACATCCTGACCACCATGTCGCTTAGGACCTAAAAGACCTCAGAGTGTATTTGTCTTCTTACATGCCTGGGGCTGCCCAGGTGAGGGGGGCTCACAGAGATTTAGATCCAGACAAGGCTTGTGTTGAACCTGCCTTCTGACACTCACCCTCTGCGTGATCTCAGACAAGCGTCTCTGCAAGCCTCTCTCTGGAGCTCACTTTCCTCATCCTGGGGGGTAAGAATATCGATCTCCCAATACGTGAGAGAATTCTACCAGATGCTGCACAGAGCTCAGAGCACGGGCCCCCCGTGGAGTGCGGACAGCATTCCTCCAGCTCGTGCATCCACAGGGGTGATCTTCTTCGTCGCATCAACAGCCTCGGCCTCATCAATGACGTCACACCTGGCCGCTGATGACGAAGCTCCTCAGGTACATCCTCTCACCCAATCACAGCAGTGGAAGTTCTGGTGAAAGGGAGGCCAGGGCGAGCTCCAACCCCATTGCTCGAGACTACATGAGATTTGTTCGGTGCCACGTTGGTGAAAGTACGAATAGCCGGACTTGAACTTGAGGCTGACACGTGCCAAACCCTGTGGTCTCTGACTTCGCTGTCCCAGCTCGAAGTGTCCATCTCGCCTCACACTTTTCCTCCTGCCAATCCAGCCCATCACCCAGTGCTGGGGACGCTGCCTGCTCGGTACCTCCATAGTCCGCCCACCTCCCCGGGGCAGGCAGCTCCGCTCTCACCTCCCTGGCCTCCTTCCTATCGTGTCTCCACGCTGCAGTCTGGGTGAACTTCCTAGAACATGAATCTGACCATACCCGCCACTGCCTAGAATCCTTCATGGCTTCTCATTGCTCTTGGGTTAAGACCAACGTTTTCTGTGAGGCCTGCAAGGGCTTGAGGTCTGAGCCCAGATGACATCTCCTGCCTTGTCCTGTACTGCGCTCCCTGCCCTCTGTCAGATTTACCTGCACACCAGCCCCCCGAGGGCCCCCGGCTCCCAGAGAAATGAGGTCTGCCTGCTGCCCACCACCAAACCCCAGCCTGCCATCTCAGGCTCAGCGGCCACACACATGCTTATGTGTTAGCCTGTCATCTCCCCCTGTCCCCGACTCCCCCCAGCAAGGACACGGAGCCCATCAGTGCATTTGTTGCCATATAGAATGGTACCCAGCACACGGTAGCTGCTCAGGACACTTGAGGAATACGTGAACAAATGAACACACAGATGAACGAAAGCACACCCAGGCACACGCACAGACGTTCCTGCACTCAGACTCCCCACCCTGCCGTGCAGGCCTCGTCGGGGCGTTGACAAAGACAGATTCAACCCCAGGCTGGACTCAGCACCCCACCCCGACTCGCTCCCTCACCTTCAGCGCCTTTCTTCTCAAAGGTGGCACAGAGGCGCTCGAGCACCACGCTGTCCCCGGAGCCCTCCACCCGGACCTCCTCATCCAGGAGACAGAAGAGGCCCCTGGCGTCCTCAGCACCTCCTCCGGCTGGCAAGCGGACCTGGCAGATCAGGATACACTGAGGAGTCCTGATCCCCTGACGGAGGCCAGGCCTGGGTTTCCCTTCCCACCCGTGGGAGTCGGGGGCACCTGCCTCCCAGGCATCACAGGCCTAGATCCACACTCCCTACACCCCACACTCCCACTCACTGCAAGACTCTCAGTGTCGAAGCCACAAAACTAACAGCCTCTTGGTTACAAGGGGTCCAGATCCTGCCTGTCTTCATTTCCAGGGTGACCTTGGGCAACGTAACTGCACCTCTCTGAGCCTCATTTTTCCTCTTTTGCAAGATGGAGAGTGGTAATACTTTCCTCCGAGGGCTGTCGTGAGGGTTTAATAAGGGCAAGCACTCTATAAACTACACATCTCTGGCTCCACACAGGCAGCTGGTCTATTCGTGCACAGCCAAACATGAAAGGATTAATCCCATCTGCATCACTTCCTCTTAGAAGTCTTCGTACTTTTTTAAACTAAAATCTTGAGGAGAAAAAAAAAGTTCCCAAAGCATGTCTTAGAGAAGATGAAGTTGGTTCAGGGGCACAGACGCGGAATTCTAAATCTAGCTCCCAGCGTCAGAGACCATCCAGGCGACCCTGAAGCTTTGCATACGGGAAACTGAAAGAGGCCTGGAGACTCTGCGGGACTCATCTGAGGGCCCACAGCGGGCTGACACATCTGAAAATGGTGCCAAGTGGTTAAAGTGGGAATGTGATGCATATGATGGCCAACGGTCCCAGTGCGCCTGGGGCCAGGGGCTTCCCAGGACGTAAGGATTTCAGTGCTGAGGCCAGCAAAGTCCCTGACAAATCAGCACAGCTGGTCACCCTAATTCAGGAATATTAGTCCACACCCCGCTGACAGGGGTCCAGAGAGGGGAAGGGACACGTCCAGGGTCACATGGAGAGGCCCAGGGGCAGAAGTGGACCTGGATCCCAGGTATCCTGAATCTTCACCTTGGCCTTATTTGCTGGGGTTGAAACTTACAGTCAACCCATCCCCAGAAGGCAGCTGTTCCAGCCACTGCCCAGGGGGCCCAGGGATGCCATGGTCCTTCCCCTCCTTGCACTGCCCGGGTGGTCCCTTCAGGCCTGCCCCTCCCAGGTGAGGAAGCAGGACGGGGACGGGGAACCAGCCGAGAGGTGCCAGCAGGAAGTAGCAGCAGGTGTGAGGGGCCGGCTGGGCGCACAGACTGAGAGCGCTTTGCAGGGGCAGGCACAGCCTGCTGCGAGCCCAGAGAAGCCAAGGGACCAGAACAAGGTGTCCAAGTGCAGGAGAGACGCAACCTGCGGGACACCTACTGTATGCCACACACCCTGCAGGGGCTTTACGTGCCAGATACCACAGGCGTTCACGACAACCCAGGGGACACCATCTATCGTTCCCACTTGGGTGATGAGGAAGCTGAGGCTTGGAGAGGTTAAGTGACGTGCCCAAGGTCACCAAGATCGGACCGGAGCCCAGCAAGTTCCATGGCCCAAGCACTCTCACACCAAGATGCGCAATGGCCGAGGGCAGCTCTGGTTGAGCATAGGTGCAGATCTGGGGTCAGCACGGTGGGTTCTGGGGCTGGGGAAAGGGAGATAACGACTCAGGTCTCCCCCAAACTAAAGCCTGTCTGCCTCCAAGAAGCTCAAGGGCCTGGATCCACCATCGCCCCCGCTCTCCATCCCCCAGGGGCCCCTACGGTCCCAGTCTCTGCTGGGCACAGCACCTTCCTCTGGACACCCGAACTTTCCAGGTGACAGGGCTGGAGACCACTGGGCACCGGCCCTGGACTCCCCTCAGCTCAGACCACAGTCCAGGTGTGGGTGCGTTCTAAGACGCAGACTCAGGTTCTCAACCTGATGGGATTTAAATATTCTTTGCCCAGGCCACACCCCCCAGACCAATCAACGCAGAATCAGGGAGTGGGTCCCAGGCGTCGGTGTTTTTAACGATCCCTGGGTCATGCTAGGTGCAGGCAGTTTTGAGATCTAGTAGCTCAAAGGCTCAAATCTGCCAGGATCTCTAAAAGGGCCGTGCGACACCTGAGAGGCCGTGTTACCTGCGAAGGACTCTGGTCCACAGCAGCCACCGTGGTCCCCAGGGATGGCTCCGGGAGCTCAAACTGCACAGGGACATCTTCCTAGAGAGTCACAGAAGTTCAGCATTAGCTCCTTCCATGAGCTGAAGGGGAAGAAACTTCTGAAGGAGCAAAGAAAAGTGAGGACTTCCATCGTCACACCTTGGCCATTTTTTTTTTTTTATGTGGTACGCGGGCCTCTCACTGTTGTGGCCTCTCCCACTGCAGAGCACAGGCTCCGGACGCGCAGGCTCAGCGGCCATGGCTCACGGGCCCAGCCGCTCCGCGGCATGTGGGATCTTCCCGGACCAGGGCACGAACCCGTGTCCCCTGCATCGGCAGGCGGACTCTTAACCACTGCACCACCAGGGAAGCCCCAAGGCCATTTTTTATTATTATTTTTTAATCGTGGTAAGAGTAGATATGGCATAAAATTTAACATTTAAATCATTTTTAAGTGCACAGTTCATTGGTGTGAAGTACATTCACACTGTTGTGTAACTGTCACCACCATCCATCTCCAAAACGTTTCTTACCTTGCAAAACTGAAACTCTGCACCCATTAAACACCAACTCCCCATTTCCCTCTCCCTATTTCTGTGTCTATGAATCTGACTCCTACAAATACCTCGTATGAAGAGAATCGTACAGGATTTGTCCTTTTGTGACTGGATTATCGCACACTTAGCACAATGTCCTCAAGGTTCATCCAGTCGTAGCATGTGTCAGAATTTCCTTCCTTTTTATGGTTGAATAATAGCCCCTTGTGTGAAGAGATCACATTTCTTTATCCATTCATCCACTGATGGACACTCGGGTTGCTTCTACCTTTTGGCTATTACAAACGATACTGCTGTGAACATAGGCATACAAATATCTCTTCGAGACCTTGCCTGAAATTCTTCTGGGTAGATACCAGAAGTGGAATTGCTGGATCAAATGATAGTTCTATTTTTAATTTTTTGAGAAAACACCATACTGTATTCCACAGCAGCTGCACCATTTTTATTGTGCACAAGGGTTCCAGCTTCTCTACATCCTCCCCAACACTTCTTACTCTTTTTAGTCTAGTGGGTGTGAAATGGTATCTCAATGTGGTTTTGATTTGCATTTCCCTGAACTAGTGATGCGGAACATCTTTTCGTGTGTTTATGGACCATCTGTATATTTTCTTTGGAGAAATATCTATTCAACTCCTTTGCCCATTTTTAGTTGGGTTCTTTTTGTTTTTTATCATCACCCCTTAGCCTTTGTGTGAGAAGAAAGGATACAGACCAGCATCCCAATAACATCCTAATACTGTTCATCCTCAGGGTGGTCAGCAATCATGGTGAGAGCTTTATCAGGAACTGATAATTCAGGGCAAACTTTTCTAATATTTACTGAGTACCTAATAAGCGCTGGGCTGAGTGCTCGGTGCTGGATGGAGCAAAAAAACTATGGATAATAAGAGTTGGCATATAAAAGTAACCAGAAATATCCAGATAATGCTATGCTCAAAGATGTTCATCACAGCGCTGTTTATAACACCATAAACATGGAAATAACTCAGATGGCCAAAAGAGAGTTCAGACAGCATCAGACATAACCGCAAACATGCATCCTTACTAAGAGCTGTGAATGGAGTGAGGAAAAGTGAATAACATAATGCTATGAGGAAAAAGACTATAAACTCGTGTGTACAGATGGATGGGAAATCTGTAGAGAAGACCATATATGGAAAAATGGCTGGTGTAAGATACAGACAGGACAGTGGTAACAGTGGTTGCCTCTGGGTGGTGGGGCTACAAGAGATTGTGTTTTCTGCTTCTTGACACTTATACGCACTTTCCAGTTTTTAAATAGAAAACATGTTTTACTCTGATCATCAGAAATAAGTGAAATATTATGGGACAAAAAAATATGATGGCTGCTACTATATGTGGAATGCCTAATACACATTACGCATTTCTGTATCCCACTTCATCAAATGCTCCGAACAGCCCCTTTAGGCAGTACGGTAAAAATGACTGTGAAAATAACCGCCACCTCTCCCCTTCCCCGTATCCACACTCTCGGTACAGATACGGAAGTTTCTCCCATCAAGAAGTGGATGCCATTTCCCCACCCCGTGAGTCAGGGCTCAGCCTTGGACTTGCTGTGACCAACTGATTACAGCAGAGGTGATGTTGCCAGTTTCAAGTCTTGGTCCCAAGGGGCCCTGAGCACTCCTGCTCACTCTCTTGGACCCCTGCCCAGCGCCATGAGAACAGCCTGAGCTAACCTGCTGGAGGACAGGGCACTCCTGGAGCACAGGTGAGTCATCCTAGCCAAAGGGCTGCCTGGATCAGCTCATGGCCAGCTGACCTCCAGACACAGGGGAGAGCCAGCCAAGAGCCACCTACCCAACCTGCCTCTGACCACAGGCACACGCTCTCCCAGCCAAGACCAGAATAGCTACCTAGGCAATCCACAGACCTGCGAGCAATAATAAAAGGTTATTATTTAAGCTACTATGTGTTGGGACAGTTTATTATGCAGAATTATTGCGGGAAATGGTAACTGATACAGGAGTATTGCTATTTCTATTTTACATGTGATAAAATTGAAGTTCAGAGAGGGTGAGTGACCTTCCTAAGGCCACACAGCCAATAAGTGACAGAGTTAGGGTGAGACCCCAGGTCTCAGCAATGCCATGTGTTTAAAATTTATTCATATTGACGTTTTCATGTTTATTGCTGTCTGGGCTCCAACCAAAGAAATGACCATAATTTTAATACCCATTATCCTACTAATAAACAATATGATCATTTCTCATGTTTTGCCATTAGCACTTACTGGAGCCAAAGGGGTCTCCTTCAGGGAGGAAGGAGGGAGCAGATGCTAGGGGGTGTCTGGGGTGCTGGCGATGTTCTCTCCTTCTATCCTGGGTGGTAGCTGCAATGAGTGTGCATGGTTGGACAAATTCACTAAGCTGTACACTTCTGATTCAGGCACTTATCTGTGTAAATGTTATAGTTCAAAAAAATTTTTTTAAGTATAAGTAAAGGAGGGCAGGCAGGGACGTGCCTGTACAGGTTTCCTGGTTCACATATACAGAGTCTCTCCGGGGGGCCTCCTAGAAAGGGAACTGCATCTTCACCTTTCCTAGATGCTCCCACATTATGATCCAAAAGGTGTGCAAACCCACTATTTTTACCCACAACCGGGCACGAAGGGCCTTCCACAGGGAAGATGCAAACTAACTGTTGGAGGAGGATTCAGCTTGGGTATGTGGGCGAGGAGGAAGAGGTCAGTGTAAACGAGGGACAGCGGTGGGAGTGAGGCCTGGGGAACCCCAAGTTCTGGACTGTAAGGTGCGGGGGCCGTGGCTGGAGACTGGGCTGTAGAGGGAGACAGGGGAGCAGCAGAGGCCCAGGAGCCAGGCCTGGAGTTTGGTTTTAATCATCGAGGGACCAGACAGGATGAAACTAAAGCCTACTGGAGGACCAGACGACCACGCCCTCCCCTGTCCCGCCCAGCCTCACGCCCTCACTGAGCCACTGCGAAGGCCCCGCCCCAGCCCAGCCATACCTCCCGGAATCGCTCCAGCGTTGAGACAAAGGTCCGCTGGTAGAAAAGCAGCTGCAAGCGCTCGTGAGCGTAATTGTGGCACAGCTCCTCAAAGGTGGCGGCCCGGTCTTTGCCCTGGTGCCGGGGGTTCTGAAAGCCTGGAGAGTCCACCACCATGATGGAGGCCATGGAGAGGTGGTGGGAGGAGAAGGATCTGGGGGGAAAGGAGAGGGGCCCCGAGAGGACAAGGACTCTTAAAACCCCATTGGTCCAAGCCTCCCACACCCCTGCATCACAGAGATGGAGAAACCAGAGCAGCATGCTGGGCGGGTCTGCAGATCCAGCAGATCTCACCACTTGCAGGCTGTGTGACCTTGGGAAAGTTACTTAACCTCTCTGAGCATGGGTTTCCCCCCACTGTTAAATGGTGGTAGGGATGAGTAGGAAGACCCCAGGGGCTGCAGTAAGAAGAGAAGGAGTTGAAGTATGGAAACTGCCTCCCATGGACACCGCAGGCCTTCAGGAAACGTACTCTCTCTACCAGGCCCAGGGTGGAGAAATGACTCGCTTAAGGTCGCACCACAAATTGGCTATAAAGTTAGGACTAAAGTCTCCTTTTCTTGCTTAGTGACACGCTGCTATAGAAAAACAATTTTGTTCAGTGCCTGTCTCAGTTTACAAAGATCTCTCAAGCTATCACCTCCTTGGAGCCTCTTGACAAATCTATCAGGGGGACAGAGAAGGGATTATTCACATCAAAAAGCAGGAGTTAAGAGACTCTGGAGAAAGTCACACGTGGGCTCCAACCCTCGCCCAGCCACGGAGGGGCTGTGTGTCTTGGGAGAGTTGCCTGACCTCTCTGAAACTCAGCTGTGAAAGGGCTAATGATGGAGATGAACTTAGAAGGCTGTTGGGAGGGTTGGATGTGATAAGACATCCACGGCTCTGAACGTGGTAAAGCGGTCAGTGTGTTTTCTGTTATTATTATCATTAGCGTGACCAGCTATACACTTCGGAGGGCCCTTAGTTTAAACCTGAGCTCTTTGCTGTTATTTGCTGAGGTTTTCCATTTGTAAAATGGGGCCAGTAAGATCAGCCACCACATAGACATGCATGAAGATTAAATCAGTTAATGTTCAGAAAGCCAGACGCCTTCTAGGTGCTCATAAACGTAAGGGTAGTGGGTATCGTTATCACCAATACACCCATTTTATGGAGGCAGGCTCCCAGAACCAACCAGGAAGCAGCCACCCTCTGCAGGCTGAAGCAGCCGCCCTCCACTGGCAGTTCACCAATAAATACTTCTTCCCCTGAGCACGCATGATCCCCCTGGTTTCTAGATAATGTGTCTGTGGTCTCAGAGGGTAATTACTCCAGCAGCACGAGAGGGGGCCAATTCTGTGTCTGTGGAGAACTCCACCTGCACTGTTGCTACACACCAGCCTCATCCCCTTAACAGGATGTCAGAAGCCTAGTTACGCCTCCTGCTTTCACAGAGGAGGGAGGGAAGCCCTTGCCCCAGCTCTGGTTTGGCCACACTGGAACTGCTTAAAGATTTCCCGGGGCTCACAGCAGCACTCACCACGGTAGAAGACAGAGGCTCCCGGCAGTACTACCTGCAGTATTTTATGATCACGATTAGGAAGAGCTGTTTACAGACACTATTTCTTTTTTACTTTATTGTTTAATTTTTTATTGATTTCTTTTAATCCTTACAGTGACCCTGAAGGAAAGAGCCATTTTTACAGATGCAGAAGGAAAGGTCAGAGAGGTGAAGTGATTCGCCGAAGTCACACAGCCCACAGGTGGCCAAGGTGGAATTTAAACCCAGCACCATAAGACACAGCTCAACAAGCCCCTCTCCAGCTCAACAAAACCCCACTCTGCTAAACTCCCCAGACTCCCCGGGTTTGGGCTCGTTCATACACTGCAAACAGGCTGCCTCTGTAACCAGGAGAAGGTTGCCATTACCTGTTGACGAGCGAGACCACGGCGGCAAAGACCTCTTGGTACAGGCCCGAGGCCATGCCCTCCACACACTCCACTCCTGTCATCTTGAGCGCTACAGTGGGGAAGAGGGGCGGGTTGACATCCCGTGGTCAGGACCTTGCCTGGGGCCGAGGTCGTCGCTCCAGTGCCATCACTACTGGCCTTAGTGCATCCTCCCCCACCGCGCACACACACCTCCCCCTACTGCTGAAATGACTTACGATCTTAGGACCAAGTTCAAGTGTCCTACCAAGTCTTCCAGGGTCCTGTGTGACCTGGCCCTACCTCCCTAACCTCCACTGTGATCTCCTGCTCAACCCTCAGGGCTCAACCCAACGTCACCTCCTCAGGGAAGCCTGCCTTGACCACCACCACCACCCCATTAAGCCAATTCCCAGGTCTACCTTGCTTTTTTGAAAATTTTATTTATTTTTCACACTGAAGTCATGATTGACATACCAAAAGACCTGTACATTTTTAATGTATACATCCTGATGAGTTTGAAGTATACACCCATGACACCATCACCATAAACACACCACAAACATAACCATCACCTCTAAAAGTTTCTTCCCTCCCTCTTTGTGTGTGTGTGTGTGTGTGTGTGCGCGCACGCGCACACGCGTGTGAGATAGGAACTTTTAACATAAGATTAACAAATTTTTAAGTACAGAACATGGTATTGTTAATTACAGGGACTTTGCTGTACAGTAGAGATATTCATCTACCCTCTAGGATTTATTCATCTTGCATAAATAAAACTATGTGCCCTTTGATCAAAATGTCCCATTTCCCCCTCCCTCCACCGCCCTGGTAACCACCATTCTACTCTCTGCCTCTATGAGTTTGACTTTTTGAGATTTCTGACGTGAGTAGTATATTATTCAACAGTAAAAAAAAAAAAAAAAAAAAAAAAAGAAGGAAATGCTGCCATTTGCTACAACACGGATGAACTTGGAGGATGTCATGCTAAGTGAAGTAAACCGGACACAGGAGGACAGATCTACCCTGATTTTACAACACTGCCCACAGCACACCTGCACTTTGTGGTTATTTCGTTAACCTGCATCTCCCCCGCCCCACAACCCAGGCAGGGAGCGCCCTGAGGGTGAGGGCTACCTCTGGGTTTGCTGGCTCCAAACCCCCAATTCCTGACACGTAGTAGTTACTCAGTAAATATCTGTTGTTCCCTCTTTCTAGAGGGAAATTTGGCAATTTTATAGTAGAAGCCATAACATGTTCATATACTTGGACTTAACTTCACTCTTAGGATTTTATTCTAATGAAATAATTCAGAGCAACAAAGATTTCTAAGTATGTATGTTCTCCCAATTGTTGCTTAAATTGGCAAAATAAAATCACTTTTTTGAGACAACCTGAACATCCAACAATAGGAAACGGGTTAGATAATTTGTAGTCCATCCATACAAAGGAATACTTAAAGTCAGGTCTAGAAGAATACTGAATGAGATGGAAAAGTGCCTGCCCGTAGCGTTAGGAGGAATTAAAAAAGCTTAGAAAATTATTATAATGGCAGCCCCAATTTTGTATAAATACACACACTGGTCCCATTAGAACAGCCAGCCTTGATTAGGGGTCACTGAGCATAGCGGGATAAGGAGTGGAGGGCTCAGATCACAAATATTGACCCTTAGGTTTTGCTTCCATCCACAGAATTGGAAACACAATTTCCAAATCTGCACACACTAGTGTCTAGAGAAACATTTCTGCTTGTACATTCCAGGCAGCCCACTGCAACCCCAAAGCATTTCCCGTCCCTGCTTTAACTCTGCCCCCAACCTGGGTCGTTGCTAGGCAACCCACAGCCTCCCAGCATCTCTCATAAGCTTGCCGGTCCCCTGCCTGCTTAACGTCTACCCTTGAGACCTCAGCCTGAGAGGATGACTCAGCTTCACCAAGCAGCGTGTGCACGCATCTGTGCTCGTACGTGTGTGTGTGTGCACATATGTGCATTATGTGCATGTGATGGTGCGCGCACATGCATGTGTGCGCGTGCCTGTGCATGGTATGTGTGTGTGCCTGTGTCCGAGAGGAGGTGTAACCATTAAGCAGACCCCAGCTTACACCAGAGCACAGACCTGGAAGGCAGTGGAGTCTCGGTGACACCAGCCATCAAGCTGAAGGCCCTGGCAGGTAGAGCAGCCACGGGGATCCGAGGGGCCTCTAAGAGAAGGACCCCAAACCACAGTTCCAAACAGTGCTACCCACTAAGCCCAGACTGTGGTCTCCGGGAGAGCTTCTCTTGAGAGAGTGTGCAGCGAGCCCTGGGGCTCCACGGGGTCCCTCTGCCCTCACCTTCCGCAGCCACAGCATCTGGCTGCAGAGGCTGCAGACCTGGGACTCAGCACACCTCACTCTAGCAGGTGCAGTTCAAAGCTCCTGCTTTTCCCCCGGGTCTTTTCAAGCACCCCCATTCCTCCTGCTGCTCAGGCGAAAGTCCTAGAAGGTGTCCTGGCCCCCTGCTTCCACCTAGGGCCCATGCCATCAGCTCTAACTGTAAACTAGACCTTGAACTGGTCCACCGCATCCCATCTGCTCCCACCTCCATCACCTCACCAAGGTGACTTGTACCCATTCCCACTCATTCCCTGATCTTCCTCCAGGCTGAGCTTCATGAATACAACAAATCATGCCATTCGCCTGCCTGTGTCCCTCCATGGCTTCCCTTGGTCTGAGCAGAAAACCCCTAGTTTACAGACTATTGTGTCAGCTGACCCCACTGAGTTCGCCAACCTTATCTACTGTCCTCCCAGCTGGACCAACCATCCTGGCCTTATTTCTGTTCCTCAAACTGAGAGGTGAGTCTTCTGCCTACAGCGTAGGGGCTCAGCAAACACAACATCCACTGGAAGTGCGCTGGTCCCTTGGCACCATCCACAGCGTCCCCTCTTTGCAGCATAGGGCCCCCTCCTGGGTTTCAGCAGCCTTTGACCCCTGGGCAGAGCTAACTAGCTGACCATAAGCACAGCGTCAGAAGGAGCCAAGTCCATTTCCAGGGGAGTGGTTTCCCCTACACCTAGAAGGTCTGCACACCGTAGACCCTCAGGAAGTCCTCGATGGACAGTGAAAGGGTGCTGGTGTGTCCCCAGGGGCCGGCCCCGCAGGGACGCAGCCCACCCAGAGAGGCAGCAGCGCGATACCTGAGCTGGCCCCCTCATCCTCCTGACCCCGGCGGCTCGGCCCAGACGTCATGCGCTCGATGATCTGCCGCAGGTGGTGCTTGAAGGTGGCCGTGTTCAGCTCCTCGTACTCACAGCCCAGGGCCTCTGCCGCATGGCTGGCCGACTCGAAGTGCATGAACTGCTTCCGGCCCACTGTGCAGGGGACAGAGCAGGAGGAGGGTGGTGAGGTCCTGGGTGGGTGGTGGGCGGGCGTCCAAGAACACCTCGGAGAATCTCGCCACCTCCCACCCTCAGCAAGAGCCTGAACAACTGCCCAGGCCTGGGCCCCCAGCTGATGGCCCCGGGCAGGAGACGCTTTCCCAAGAGACATGTTTGTCCCATTTCCCTGTCATCTGCGTTGCTCACTTTCCCAAAGCAATTAAAAATACCATGGGGAACACTCTAAACATGGAACTGGGGAATGGTAAGACTTACCCACCCACATATCCACTTACCTATCCATCCACCACCCCTGCCACCCACTGACCTAGCCACTCAGCTACCCACCCAGCCACACATCCAACCATCTAACCACCCTCCCCTTTATTCAATACATATTTCTGGAGCTGTTACTATGGAACAGGCACTGTGTCAGCCTCTGGGAAATCGGTGATGAGCAAGACAGACAAAGTGTCTGCCCTCACGGAGCTTACAGTCTTTTGAGAGAGGGAGACAATAAACAAGTAAGCAAATAAATAAATATTTCAGGTGATGAAATTATAAAGTTATTTTTTCCCTCTAAGGAGAAAATAAAACAGGGTGATGGGGTCAAGAGAAACTGAGGAGTGGCTACGGATGCGTGGTGGTCAGAGGCGGCTCTGTATGAGGATGTGACAGGTGGACTGGGGGTATGAAAGATGAGAAGGAGTTGGCCACACAAAGAACCAGGGAAGCGCTTTAGAGGCAGAAGGAGGAGGTGGTGCAAAGGCCCTGAGGCAGGAATGAGCATGATGTGTTAGGGAAGTGCCAAGAAGGTCAGCGTGGCTGGGATGTAAGCGGGGAGGGGAGTAACCAGACGAGGTTGGAGAAGCAGTGGGGAACCTCTCTATGGACTATTATAATGCCACTTAATATCAGCCACAAAGACCGTACAACATGGTCAATTCTTATTTTCAAAATGTTAAATGAAATGGACTAGAAAATCACGCCACAGTATGACATCAATTGTGTAAATCACTCTAAACTGCTATGAAGACAAATAACGAAAAGGAAATATATCCAAATACGAACAATCAGAGGGTAGGGGAACTTTTTATTTTCCAAACTTTCTGCAGTGTTCTGCACTAACTTTGTAATCCAAATTTTAAAAAATAATGACTTATTAAAGCAAACACTAGTTCCATCCTTAAGTAATTTCCTCCCAACTCCTATCTTCCCATAAATGTGCTTCCTTCTTTGAAATAAGAATCACAGCTGCCAACAGAGATTTCTCAATCCATCAGAAAGAGTTCTTAAGGGCCCAATTCTTCAAACAGACATCTTAAAGAATCTAGACACCTGGTCTAAGAAAAATGTGGAAATTTGGAAAAAGACTTTATCTGGGGCCTTGACAATACCCAGGACGAAGGAGCTCTGGCCACTGCTTATCGAGGTCCTCCTACATGCCAGTTATTCTGCACTGATTATCTCAAGAACAGCATTTTATTACCTCCATTTTAGAGACTGAATCTCAGCTTTGCCAGAGAGGTTACATGGCTTGTAAAAAAGTCCTGCCACTTTAATTTTAAAAAAATTTTTTTTTCTTTTTTGGCTGCATTGGGTCTTTGTTGCTGCGCACGGGCTTTCTCTAGTTGCGGTGAGCGGGGCCTACTCTTCATTGCGGTGCTCGGACTTCTCATTGCAGTGGCTTCTCTTGTTGCGGAGCATGGGCTCTAGGCACATGGGCTTCAGGAGTTGCAGCGTGTGGGTTCGGTAGTTGCGGCACGCGGGCCCTAGAGCATGCAAGCTTCAGTAGTTGCGGCACGTGTGCTCAGCAGTTGCAGCACGTGGGCCCTAGAGTGCATGGGCTTCAGTAGTTGTGGCTCACAGGCTCAGCAGTTGTGGCTCGCGGGCTCTAGAGCGCAGGCTCAGTAGTTGTGGCGCATGGGCTTAGTTGTTCTGCGGCATGTGGGATCCTCCCGGACCAGGGATCGAACCCATGTCCCCCGCATTGGCAGGCGGATTCTTAACCACTGAGCCACCAGCAAAGTCCCTGCCACTTTAAAAAATGGTGAAGAAGGTAACAACGATGGTGGTGATGACGTGGTGATGATGGTGGAGGTGATGGTGGAGATAAGATGATGGTGATGATGACAGTGGTGATGGTGATGATAGCAGTTACCACTCAGTGACCCCATTTTATTCAACATGTCATCTTTGTTCAGCTCATGGCTTTTGGAGTCAGAAAGTCTGTCTTGGAGTTCCAGGGGTGACACAGAAAAAAACTCAATACGTGCAAGTTGTAATTACTTATTATTATTATTATTACTATTATTGAATCTTCACAAAAGTCCTCAAAAGCAGTATTATTCCCATTTTACAGATGAGAAAACTGATTCGGAAAAGTCACCAGAAATCAGACTAAGTGGAAGAACTATCTCCCCAAAATCAATCCTTGCAATGTCACCTTTAGGAAATCTGTCAAATCCTTGTGTCCCTGAATAGGACTTTCTTTTAAATGGACTCACTGATCTTTTTCACGGACATAAATACCTTGTGAAAGGAAATGTTATAGCACTAACTTAAACAAGAATCCATTTGTTGAAGGAGGTCATTGAAAGGATATGACCACCAGGTGACCTGCGAGCTGGCCCTGGGCAATTGGAAGCTCCTCAGCCCTTCCCCTGCCCTTGGAATATACCTCCAGCCCCTCCCCCACTCACACGGTGGCAGCTGTTACAAGGACACAGCCTTGAGGGAGGGTCTCTGTGACTGAGCCTAGTTCCAGCCTCTATAAACTTTAAGACTCTGGCGGGCGGGGGTGGAGACCTCCCCTTCTTGCAGCATCCAAGACAAGCCTTGTATGTCAGTTCCCTTGCATATTACACCTGCCACCCACCAATCTGGAGTGGCTGCCTCTTTCTTCAGTCTCTCCCTGCCCTCCACCACAGTGAGGGCCAGTTTCTGAACCAACACTGTGATCACTTGTCACAGATAGAAAATAGAAATAAATACGTGTACAGAAATACCATTAGATTCTAATTAGATACAGTTACCTGGGAGTCCGAGGTCTGCTTTCTCTTTGTTGAAAAAGGGAGATTAGCAAGTATTACAGAGAGGAGTTAAAGGCTACTAGCCCTGAATGAGATTTCCTTCTTCCTGTGATGGGGTTGAAAGTGAATTAAACAGGAGATGACTGTCTAGGTGGGCAACGTCCTGCCCCTCTCCTGCCCCATCACCTCCACTGCCACCCTCTGAAACAGTCTCCCACACTCTGCCCACAGTGACCTATAGCCTCACTGAGCTGGGGAGAGCTCATGAAGGGGCTCAGCAATGGTTGTTTCTGAAAAGAGGAGCAGGAAATGGACTGGGCAGGCCTCTCTAGGTCCCGCCTGACTTAAGGGGCATATTTCCAAGTGTGCTGAGCAGCGTCCCGCTGGTGAAACCCAGGAGGCACATGGGAGCTCTGCCGGGAAAACGTATTTCTGCTTCCAGCTCCCGAAGGCTGGCCAGGCACCAAATCCAACCCCATGGGCCCCTCTGTCTTCATCCAGACCTGGGTGGAGGCCACGCCTTCTCAGTGGAGGCTGAGAACCCTGGGGCAGCACCTGCGGTGAGGAGAAAGGGGACTGGACAGGAACACAGGCACCAGAGCAGACAGGGTCTGGGTCCCATTCCCGTCATTCCCAGCTGTCAGCCCTTGGACCAGTCTCACAGACTTTTTGAGCCTCAGTTTCTTCATCTGCAAAACGGAGTCATAAAACCTCAAACACCTCTTCGCTGGGCTGCAAGGACTGGGCGAGATGGTGGCACGTGAGGCTCTGAGCAGAGCACCTGGCCCTGAGAAGGTGCTGGACAAATTTGAATTCCCTCCTCCACCTGCAAAACCAAAGAGGGCACCATTCACCCCAACCCGGATTGCCCCGTCCTGGGGCTGCAGGGACTCCTCCACAAGATCTGTCTGGTGCTTCACCGAGAGCATGTGTGGAAGGGATAGTGAACTGGTGAACTCCGGATGCCGGTCACGCCCAGGGACTCTGAGCCCACCGAGGTCGTTTCTCCTCCAAGGAAAGGCGGACACACGCTGGTCTCAGCACTTTCCACCAACCTACCCAAAGCCGGGGACAGAGCTATCCTCGGAATGCCACCGAGGTTGGAGATGCCAGTATACAGAGGGCTCCAGCCCCCGCGAAGCCATCACCAAACGAGCGAGGACAGCCACCAAGCAGGGAGCGTGTGCCGTGTGCCAGGCACTGTGCTAGCACTTCCCCCGCCTCATCGCTTTCCTCTTCTAAGCCCCTGAGATCATTCAGATATGGAACGGAGTAGGTCAGGTCTCGTTTCCTGTCCAAGGTGGTTCCAGGAGTGAGGGGCAGAGGGGGATTCCCACCCTCCCGTGCTGATGTCACACCGTGTGCAGCCGCCCGCTGTTCTGTGCCAGCAGAAGTCTGTGTGGTCACTGCTCTGGCCTAAGAGAGCTGGCATGAGGAAGCGTTCAATAAACATTAATATGGTGAGTGATGAAACGAAACAAGGAGTCAACGACGAAATGAACATTTCTCACTGCTGGCCAGCCCTGCCCAAAGTGGCAGATCTCCAAGATTTGGGAGAGAGAAACACTGTGTTTCCCTCTCCCCCGCAAACCAGCCCATCTGAACCTCAGAGCTGCCTTCTCTAACAGGAAAGATCAAACAGAAGAGAAAACAAAAGGGGGAGAGGCAGAGAGACACAGAGAGGGAGAGGCAAGGAGCCAGAGATGGAAACAGACAGACAGGACCAAAAAAATCTTGGAGGGGAGGGTCTGTGGATTTTTCCCCGCCTCGTAGCCCACCCCGTAGGGGATTCACACACTCTATCGGGAGGCTTTCCTGCCGTACAGCAGGAGGCGAGGAGGCTGTGCCCAGAATGACCCCAACGCCAAATGCAGAGATCACTTCAGGCATGTGCGTTTGGCTGCAGCCATTCTGCCGGTCATGGGTGGGAAACAGGACCCCGTGGCAGGCGGGCCCGGGGTT